TCGTCGAGCGATAAATCTTCTCAACGCGAGTGCACAGCAATCTGCACTTAAGGATGTCACGATCTTCAAATGTATTGCTCTGTAGACTGCGCATGTAAACAGCACCACCCAGGCTTTAGTCCTTTTCCTAAAAATAAGGGGACTCCAGAAGTCAATTCCGGTTACTTCGAAAGTTCGAGCGTCCCGTACTTTGTCTAAAGGTAAACGAATAGGTATGGTTGAAGGTGGCTTTGTTGTGAATCTCTTGTAGATAATGCATTTCTTGATTATTGATCTAATTGTCTGTCTAGCTGAAATAATCCAGTATTCTTCTCTAATCATTGACATGAGCATTTGAACACCGGCATGAGAATTCTTTTCATGGTATTCGAGCACTTTGCACAATATGATGCTTTGACGGAAGTAGAATTGAATATTTAAATCCAAATTCTCATCTCTTGCGAGAATCTTTGTTTTCACTCTTATCAGTCCTATTTCATCTCTGACGACTGAAAGACCATTTATTACATCTCCAGTCTGAGAAGTCTCCAGTCTGACTCCAGTCCTGTAGTGTCAATTGCAGTCAAATCTCCATCGAGCTGTTTCACTTTCCCGGTAAGGAATTGTACCGTAAATGTCACTGCCTATTAGCATCTCTATCTTCGGGCAACCTGTTCCTATGTCTGAAAGCCATATCTTTTTACACTTAAGTTATTTTAAAATAGAGCCCTTAGGTACACGTGCTATATTTCCACACATAGCTTCCTGATCCAAAAACACAAATTCCATTTCTTTTCTCATATAAGGACTGAAAGAGCGTAGCTTGATCCGATGCATTTTATGTACGTTCGGTTCAATTTTAACCTCTCCAAAAAGCGTGTGAACTACAGTTTTCTCGGCAATGGGAATTAGTCCTAATTCCTGTACCGTAGACTTTAAAATGTATGATTTTTATGATCCGCAATCGAGAAGCGCTCGTACTTCACTCGTGCCTGATTTTCCTAACACATTGGTTTTAATTGTCATGAGAGCTACCTCCGGGGAACACATCTGTCCCGTTCCGGGATACTTTGCTAGGTTTAAGATACAGAACGACGATAAATGTAAACTATGTATCTGTTTGGTGATGCTAAGCATTTCCTCAAGGTCTGTCCCTACTTTGATGGCTTAAGGAACAACAAAAATATTGATTTTGAAAATCCCTTTTTATGCTATAAAGATTTCGTACAATTATGTAAATCTGTGATGAAATTTATTGACGGTGAGCGCCGGGCAATAGGAATCAGTGTATGATATATGCATTTTATTGCCACCACTATTTGGTCTATTTTAGTAATTTCTTGTTACCATTGTTTGTGTTTGTTCTCGTTTTTTTCCTTCTTGTTTGTTTTTCTCTTTGGTGTCTGCTCTTGTCTAAATGTTTGTATTTGTTCTTTTTCTTCACTTTTATGTTTATAATTATTATTAATACATGATTATTCTCATTTAGATATTTTATGTTAATTTTTTTCTTTGTTGAAATGGGCGTAGCCTGTCATGACCATAAGACCAACTTGTTTGGTTAGGGGGCTTGGGATGCGCCCGCTACTGATACTGATAATGATACATCTGTCCCGCCATAGTTGCCTGAATTGTGTCTCTGTTGCCTTTTCCTACGTTTCCTGTATCTGCAGATCCGGGCAGAGAGAAATTGTGGGAGCCTTACCATACACATAGCAACGTACAAACTGTTTACACGACTTAGCAACATGTCCAGGCGAAAAGGCACTTTAGGCAACACCTCTTAAGCCTAATTTTATTTATTTTTTTTTTTGTCGTCTAATGACAGACGAGTGTGCTTCGTAACAGTCCTTACTATCGTGTAGTTTATCGCAAAAAATACAGTTATTATCTTCCGTCGTAAGGAAACCTGCCGCCGTAGGGACATTCGTTAACCTGTTTCGATTTAAATTTGCTTTTCAATTCCCTTTTCGATTTATTACAATACTTGTCTTTTTGCCCAAAAATTTCAAATCCACTCCGTGCTAACTTAAGAAGCCTTTCCTCCCCTTCCACTTCGCATCTTAAAAATTTCATCAAATTATTTAGGCGAGAAATATTCTGACTTTCCTTTACTTCTCCAAAAAGCGGGCTTTCTTTGCCAAGCTCTGAGGACTTCCTCCGAGAGGCATGATTCTACCATGGGATATAACCAACAAGCATTGCTTTTCCGTTTTAATATCTAAGGATTCGAGAGCTCTTAGTTGTGCTTCAATCTTATCAATAATTGCGGCAATGGTAATTTTTCACTACTACCTGTCTTAACATTCGTTATAATCAACTTTACAAGCTCTCTCACGTATACCTCAATTAATAATAAATCATGATTCCCAAAACGTTCCTTAAGAGCACTAATAGCTTTTGAATAATTTTTCTCAGACATTGGGTAACTGTCAATAAGGTCTCTAGCGCGCGTCTCTTGTTTCTTGCTTTGCACAAGATACTGAAATTTGTCACTTCGTGCAAATTAGGGTTCTCGTGTATTTTTTTGAACTGAGACCAAAACAGAAGCCAATTCAGTAATTCTCCATCGAACTTCTTAAGCTGTATTTTCGGAAGCTTTAACGATCTAGTATAACGAGGTGAATTACTAGAAACACTACTTTGCGACCTAGTTTCTAAATTTATCTGTTCTAAGGCACCTAACTTCTCACTAATTAATTCTAACAGAAACCTCACTACGTCCTTTCGCGGACACCACTTGTAACGAAAATTTTATCAAAATACCAAAAAATCAGAACTACGCCGAGACTACCCGTCAACGTAATCAGAAAATCAGAGACTACCCGTCAACGGTTGTTCTGCACAAGTTCTTAATATGGGTGTACGCCAACTGCGCGAATGAACCCCCCCCCCTCGTCCAGGTATAGTCCAACTGCGCGAATCAAAATTTCTTCCTCTCGTTGTCTACAGGGTTACAATTTTACTTTTCGAAGCCAATTGTAGCCAAGCGTGCTAGAAAAAATTTTTTTGTTAATTAAAGTAATCATGTAAATATTTGCAGAAATTAATAGTTAAATTTTAAAAAATAGCTTAGCATGAAATCTATTATAACAACTATTATAATTATAAATCTATTATACAAAATTATATTATTATTATAAGTCTATTATAACAACATTACTGTTTATTAAAACTACATTACTGTTCTGTTTATTGAATAATATCCTAATTTCTGCTTTAATTCAAGGAAACTGTGAAAATGCTGATGTCAAATTTTCATAAAATTGTTAGACGTCAAGAAACATGTGCAGAATCCAGATAAGATTTATTTCTTTTTATATAAATATTGAAATTGTAAACAGATATTCTAATAGTAGACTCACTGTGCCTAATTATTATTAAGGCTTATATACGTATATTAAGAACCTGTGCAGAATAACTGTTGACGGGTAGTCTCGGCGTAGTTCTGATTTTTTGGTATTTTGATAAAATTTACGTTACAGCTTTTTAAGCAATGTCGTCAATCTAGTAGTATGCATTTTTTCTGTTGTATTCCAATTTCTAACGACTTTTATAAACAAAGTGCGAATTTTTTGTCTTAATTTGAATTTTAAAATATGCGCTCATGGTATTTGTTTGCATTGGAAGAAATTTGACAAAAGTTCTATAGAAACACTGTGTTTTGTGGAAAATCTTCAAAGCGAACAAACATTATTTGCTTTAAATACATTCTTAAAGCGATCGGCACAAAATTTCTGCCGAAGCAAATGATACAAAAACTCACGTGTAAGTAGGTTACTTTTTATTGCTTTTAGGGATAAATACCTAATTAAAATATAAAACTTGCACCTTATAAATTATTTATTTCCATTATAAGTCATACTTCATAAAAAAATCGTCGAATTGAGCCAAGGTGGTTGCGATAATACGTAAGTATCGACTAAAAATTCCTATTTTACCGTTAGTCTTAATAAAGTTCCAATGACATGACCAAATTAATAAAATTAAAACATTCAGTTTCCCTTCTGAGTGGAAGTGGTGTGTGTGTGTTGTATTTAATTATGGCAAAGCACACTAGGGTTATCTGTCTAAGGGGTGGCATGCCTTCGTGGAGAACTTTCTAAGAGAAACTGGCTCGTATACACGTTACACATGGGAAAAGCACCCATGCAGCCAGCCCGTTCGCGCGATTCGAACCTCGGACCGACCTACCAGTGTTTAGCGACTTTACCGCTCGGCCGCTGGTGGGCCTTTCAGAGTGGAAGAAAAGCTTTTTTATGATGTTTTTTGCTTCTAATTTTATTCTCTTAAAACCTAGAACTTTTTTTTTTTTTTTTTTTGAATAATATAGGAAGATTTTGAGGCCCGCTTCTTTGAGAGTAGAGGTGCGTAACTCATTTGCCCCTAGGGAAACCAGATCCTGATCGTAATACAATATTGAGTCGTTTTAAAAATCCATTGCTTTTAGTACAGAGATTTAATTTATTCAAAAAACGCGCATAAAAATTTAAGTATTTTTTTCCCTTTTCTTAAACCGTTTAAAAAGCATTAACCAAAACATGGAATTTTCTCAGTTAGCGGATAAATAAAAAATTAAGTTATTAATATTATAACTAGGTAATACTTGTTATAATTTATAGATAATTAGAAGTTTTCAAACTGAGAATACAAGAGCATGCTTCCGCTCGTCTATGTGATGCATATTCTTGTGAGCAGTACAAAATTTTACGGTTTCGTGATTAGTTTTAAATTAGTTAAGATAGCAAACACCTTGTTATAAAATGTTAAGGAGTTGATAAAAAATTCTTAAAACGTTCCACAATAATAATTCTCACTATTAACTCATGTTAAATACATTCATGAGAATGAAAAAATAAACCATTAAAAAAATGGCATTATTAAGCATGGAGTACGTATAAAGTGATGTTTATTTATGTATATTGCTACCAGATGGCGCCACACAAATATTGATTATTTGACGTCTGACGCTCGAAGGGAAGGTATGAAATCCGTGAACAGGACGTCGAACCAGTCGCAGATAAGAGTTTGTATACTTTGGGAGCGGGTTGCGTGATGGTTCTGAATGGATGAAAATAACGGGAAATCATTTGAATTCTCAAGTCACTTTTCTTTCAGTATTAATTTGGGAGATCGTAGAAGATATTCCAGCATGTTTTCTGTTAAGTTCCAAACAACCGAGGAATGAAATTATTTATTTTGGCTGATGATCTCTATCTCATTCCTTATTTTTGAAAGTACGATAGCTGATCAAGAAGAAGATGGGTAATTGCTTCAGCCGATCTGCCAACAAAAATGCTAAGAAAGAAGTGGCAGGTCAGCCTCCTGTTGAAAGGACCATACTTGACAACTGTCCAACTTCACTGTCATCGCTAGGTGTCCAGACACATGAACCTTCTGCAACGAATATAAGGTATCCAGCTGACCCTACGTGTAGAAGTGGCCCTACTTTGCCCCCAGTACCGTCTGATTCAGATAGTTCTTCCGGATCTAGTGCCAAAGTTTTTGTAGCACTGTATGACTATGATGCAAGGACAGACGAAGATTTGAGCTTCAAAAAAGGTGAACATTTAGAAGTATTAAATGATACTCAGGGTGACTGGTGGTTTGCTCGTTCTAAAGCGACCAAGCAAGAAGGATATATACCATCTAATTATGTGGCTAAGTTGAAATCCATAGAAGCTGAGCCGTAAGTGGTTTTTTTATTTATTTATTACAAGTAATTAAACGGAAAGTCATTAGTTTTAAATTATAGGAGTTCTGCATAATGTTTAAATTTATGATAACATCTTTAATAGCAAATAGTCATTAAGGTATAAATCATGATAATCTAATTTTACATGTAGTTGTGCTAAAAAAAAATAAAAAATTTCACTAATGTTTGTAAATATTGTAGTGCTATGCAGTAGTCCAAAAAAGATAGCCAAAAAATTTACAACTAATTTGTAAATATCACAGCTTTACCTTCAGTACAGTTCTGTGAAGAGCTTCATAAATTGTTTTTTAAGACAGAACATTGAGTTTTTTCATTTAGTATTCTACTGAAATTAAGAAAAACAAAAATTATTCATTCATTAATAAATAACTTTGAATCTTCTTTAATAGATTTTCCATATTTAATTAACATTTAATAGTCTTATGTATGCTTATATACTCCAATAAAAGTATTATTGGGCAATAATTCATTTAACTTATGTATGTTATATGCAATTTAAATAAATTTTTACCCTTTCGTTGGCGGGAAAAAATTACGCTTTAATGATCTCGTGAAAATTAATTTGAATTCAAGAAAATACATATAAGATACTTTCAAGTTGCAAATGAAATTTTAAAATATTGTTCTCTGTTCAAAGATAATGGATATCATGATTTTCACAAATGTGTTTTACATGGTTATTTTTTAATCTCTTGGTTAGAGGTTTTATGACTTTGCTTTCAAATTTAAAGGGACCAGAATGACTAAAAACTCCTAAAAGTTCTTTCCTTACCTCTGTTTCTTCTTCTCTGTATGGGATAATTCTGTGTTTAATTTACATATAGAAGCATCAAAATAAATATATAGAATCATGTTTAATGAATGTTGTAAACAAAAACGGGCATAGAAATATTTGCAGTTTAATGAATAACATAATAGTTGAATAAATTTAAGAAAAAATTCAGAAACAGCAAGGAGGATTGATTTAAAATCCCAGTTCTGAAGTGATTTCAAGAAAAAGAGTATTTTTATTTTAAAAAGATTATTAAATTGAAAAGAATATTTCAGGATATTTGCAGAACACAACATGCTGCATTCTTGAAACTTGTTTATTATTTATGAAAAAAAAAAAAAAAAAAATTGTAAGAGGAACTTGAACCTGAACTGAACAGTCTGCAGCAGTAAATTACTTACTGTTATGTTAAATTCTAATGATAAAAGTAGAAACTCTTTACATATTATAGTTGAATTTCAAATATTCTGATCATTTTCTCTTGAACATCTATCAACAACAGAGCATTTCTGAGTAATTAAACAGAAACTGAAATGTAAAGCGATAACCAAGGCCTGGATTTTGATGACATATTGTTCTTCTTTTTGTTTGTGTGCATATTTTGAGTACTTTCCACTTTTAAAGCATTTTAAAAATTTTTTAACATGTTGGGAGCTTTGAAGGTCATTTTTTTTGGCATCTTGTAGTATTTTGAAGCAGGCTCTTTTAAAACTGAAGAATTAACAATTAAGAGGTGTAGGTTTTTTAAATATGTTCCAATAACTGCGGTAGCTGTCAAGGGAAATTTCTTATGATATGAAAATCTGTATACTGATAACAGAAAATCATTCACGTTCAAAAACATTGAAAAGCACGTAAAAACTTAATGCAGTTATAATACATTTGTGTAAGGTTCAAACTTTGGGGGGAGGAAAATAAAAATGAAGTGGCAGGTATGCCTAATTGTTTGGGTTTTAATCCACTTATCAGTGATTGTCAATGATGTCATTTTTATTAATTAATTTATTTATTAAGGGCTTTTTTTTTTTTTTTCATTTTAAGTGCATTTTCTGACTATTTTTAAGGGCATTTTGAGTGAATTTTTAGGTCATCAAAATCTTAAGAAATCATGTGAATTTTTGGTCGGATTCGTCCATAACAAATGAATTGAATCTACAGCGTTGTCTTCATTGAGAACTGATGGAATAAGCAGGTGTAAAATTTTCAAGAAGCCATTTATAACTGTATAATTATGTGTTTGATTATTTACTGTGCTACAAATTTCGCTTTATAATATATCATTGTAAACATATAAAATTTTGTAAAATATTTTGTAATGGTCTAGTTAGTTGAAATCTGTAAATAGTGATAAATTTATCCTAAGGTCAAATAAATTGAATGTGAGGAGTTTTCATCTCTGACCTTTCTCAGTGCGTTAATCCATTTAGAAGATTAATCATTGAACCCAATGTTCTGAGAGCTAGATAATTAATTGTATTTGAAACCACTATAATAAATAACTAATATCCTAACATTATGGAAATGGGGATCCTAACATTATAGACCAGGGCTGACCAGTTTGTCAATTGCAAGATATCAATTTGCTGCATTACTTTTTTTATTCTATTTAGTATATTTTCTCCGTGCTTAGGTCTCGGCCTCGTACTTGGGGAGGGGCGAAGGGAGGAAAAAAGAAAGGAATCAAATAGCTAAAGGATGACAAAACATTTGTGCAGCCTTTATTATAAACTAATTTCAACCCTCTCGTGTCTTACTGGTATGAGAAGTTGTCGGTTCATCCAACCGAAAAGCATACTTTTTGAATAGGTTTATCATGAACGAAAAATTAAAATTTCGAGAGTCCTAAATAATGTTTGGCAACATTCAGCATACCGGCCTTCCTTGTTTATTCGGCAGGTATCGGCGGAAAATGAAAATCGTCGAAAAGAGAACTCAGTTTTTTTTTTTTTTTTTTTTTTTAATTTGCAGTTGTGTTTTGGTTAGTAATCGAAAATCAAAATTACGGGAATATGTATTTTGGTCATCAGTTAAAAATTAAAATTACGGAAGTTTAAAACAATTTTCGAGCAACAGTTGAATTTATAGACCTTACAGCGTTTATTCGGCAGGTGTTAGAACTTCCGCGGAAACCCGAAATCGTCTGAATGCCAGTGTTCTTTTAAATTTTCAACTATATTTTCTTCTCCGAGAAATGCAAATAACAAATTATATATTATTTGCAAATGCGTGGGAAAAATAAATAGCATCTGACGCATATTGAAAAAATATATATATACAAAAATGTGCCCTTAAATTTACAAAATTTTAAAAAATAATTGAGAGAATGAACTAAACGTCAAATAAATAGGTTGGAGTTTTAAAAGTAAAGGATCGAAGAGCAGAAGATGCCTTGTTCATGCTTATATTTGTCGAGTTTTCAAAACTGGCAGATCAGCTGACAGTCGCACATGCTTATGCATATGAAAATTTGTGAGTGAAAGAAAACATAGTTCGGAATTCTTGCTTTCGTTTACGGCAAAGCATAACGAGGGGAATAGTCTTACAGGGAAGACTGCATCTGTACAAGACTTGCTAAGAGAAAATGGCTAGTACTTGCATTTATATATGAGGTTAAACACGAAAATACCTACACAGCCAGCGCTCAAAACCAGGTCGAACGTCGAGGATTTATTTACTTTATCCACTCGACCAATAATGCGCTTTAAAATGTAATGCCGTTTTTCTCGCTTATTATCCCGTTTTTTAAACTAAATTTATCGTCCGAAAATTGGGGAGGGGGAAATTATGCGATTAATTTAATTTCTGAAGAACGAAGTTATAGTAAGAACATAACAAATAAAAAGGAATCGTGGACAAACTACTGGTAACTATCATAGTATATTTATGTAAAAGAAATCTACAATCCAATTGGAATACCTAATCTGATAATATTAATATTACAATAGCTGATAGATATTGAGCCGATATCTGACCGTATTTACTCTCAGTTGCCTTGTAAAGCCCCATAGGCACCTCATATGAACCAGTCTTCATTGCAGTTTTCGCATGGAGATAGGAAGTCCTTTCATACCTCCATGAGTTTTCCAGAGGGGCTTCAGAGAAACGTTGCAGAAAAGGGGTGGACAAAAGACCCGGATTTGGAAACATCCAAACACCAGCAATAGATAAGACTACAACGAGATCTGGAATCTAAATAACAGAAGTAAGATGAAATCAAGTGTTTGGAAAGTTTCTTAATTGTGAGAATACCTGCCACGTCCGGTAGCTTAATGAAGAATCTGCACAAAATGCGAGTCAAATAATTAATGCAAGGGAAAATTAAGTAAACGAAATGTTAATAGAAAATTGCTTATAATTTAGCTAGTCATCAGAGACAAAAACTATGTACAGTAGAGGAAGCGGAAAATTAAGCGAATATTTTTAAATTTTCAAAACCTAGGGGAGAAATGCAGTAATATTAATAAAAAATACTGGTACTTTTTAATTACTCATATCCCTGTTTCAACTTTCACCACATACATGTTTGAGTACACTTACACGCTTTATATTTAGTGATCATTTCGCTAAACAATATCCACCGGCTATAAAATGTAAGTTTTGACTACATAGATTTTTTTGCCCTTTGTAAAATTTCTTGCTTCTTGTAAAATGCTTCTTTTTATTATTATTTATGAATAGAACAGTACCTATAAGCTGTAAATACAGCCAAACAAATGCTTTTCGCCAATGAGTTGGCAACTTTTCATAGGGTACGTATATTCAGAAAGCCCCAAAGAAGATGAAAATCTTTTTATGTGTTCGTTTGAACAGAAACACTATCCTGAATCTGTCTTGTACTAGCTTTTAAGAGTGGTACAGCGAGATTATAATACGATACATAACTCAGTTTCGTAAAATGATAAAACTTTTTATATAAATTCATACCTTGATTCAGAAAAGTGTCTTTGAAAAAGTTGAAAACAACTAAATGAAGAATATTAAAAAAATTTTTCAACTTAGTAGTCAACCATTTATTCTGCAAGCTAATGACATAGTTCTTTGTTGCGCGGATCACAAATATAAATATTTCTTGACTTCTAATTTCATTAACAATGGTAACATAGTATTTAAATGAGAATAATGAACAACTTTAAAATACATTATTAACAAATAAAACAATGAAAATATTGTTTCTAGTTAACTAAAGTGTTGCATTTGCCTG